CCCCTGCCGTACGTGTGTGTGTCTCACTGTACTCGGGGCATGTGTGCTCAGATCAGGCCCCCGGCCGTATGTGTGTGTGCTGCACTGTACTCGGGGCATGTGTGCTCAGATCAGGCCCCCGGCCGTACGTGTGTGTGCCATTTGCATGTTCTGTCCATGTCCTCATGGGCTTGCTCTGGGTTCGCTGCTCCCCCCTGACTGTGCAGTGTGAGTACACCTCTCCATAGCATCCCGACAGCCCAGCCTGTCTGAAGGCTGTGCCCCCCCCCCCACCGCAATGTCCCCTTTGTGCTGATGAGCCATGTCTGTGTCCCTCAGAAAGGCAGTGGTGCCATTTTCAACACGGTGAAAACCAAGGCCAACCCAGCCATGAAGACTGTCTACAAGTTCGTAAGTACGACCCATTCCACGGTGACATTCTCTCCCTCCCCTGAGCCTCTGATGCATTCTGCTTATTCACTTCACCCCCTTCCCCGGGATTCGAACCTGTGACCATTGGGCCCACCATGCTGGTGTGAGCAAGTGTTGACTGGGTTGTGCTTTTCACTCACAGGCGAAAGATCACGCAAAGATGGGGATCAAGGAGGTGAAGAGCCGGCTGAAGCAGAAGGCACGTAGCACTCAGCCGCGAGAGAATTGCAGAGGAGTGCTATAGCCTGCAGGGGGAGCCAGCTCTGCTGAAGGGGGGGTCTCCCACCTACACCCATACGGCCATCAGAGCTCATACGCATGAAATAGTGTTTGATCCTTACTGTGCCAATATACATTTTAAGTGTAACTTTACTACCTTACACAAACACCCCTGGTGAACTTTACTAAGTTAAAATACAGGAAGCTCCTTTCCCATAAACAATGGTTAAACATCATTGGTGTCTTATTAGTGGGGAAAATCCTGCAACCTTTATATCAGCTGTTCTTATTGGCCAGCTGATGTGCCAGTCAAACCCTGATAGTCTGGCCCTGATCACATGACACTCCCATTCCTACTTTCCAGGATCTGACGGAGAATGGATACGGCAATGCTGCTGAGGACCTGCAGCCACGTGCAGCTGTGTCACCCTCTACTGACCGGAAGGAGTCCCGGACCTGGGATGAGCGCCGGCCAATCACTGTGCACTTTGGGCAGGTGGGAAGGGACCTGTGTAGGGCAATGCTTGGGAGGCTTGTGAGTGTGAGCGAGATGTGGGGGTGTGGAGAGTGCATAGGGACAGGGCGCTAGTGGGGTTCAAAGATGTGGGGGGGTGGGCAGGCGAGAGCATGGGTCTGCAGACATGGGGGCTGGGCGAAGAGGATGGATTTTTAGACGCAGGATTAGAGGGGCGGCGTGGAGCGGTGGGTCTGCCAATGTGGGGGCAGGGAGTGAGAGTGTTGATCCAATGATGTTCGAGGAGGGACAAGAACGTGTTTCCGAAGGGGCGGGGTGAGAGTGTGGGTCATCCGACCCTGGGGTGGGGCAAGAGTGTGGATCTGCTGACCTTGGGACGGGGCAAGAGTGTGGATCTGCTGAGCCAGTGATGGGGCAAGAGTGTGGATCTGCTGACCCGGGGGCAGGACAAGAGTGTGGATCTGCTGACCTGGGGGCAGCGCAAGAGTGTGGGTCTGCTGACCCTGGGATGGGGCAAGAGTGTGGGTCTGCTGACCCTGGGACGGGGCAAGAGTGTGGATCTGCTGACCCGGGGACGGGGCAAGAGTGTGGATCTGCTGACCTGGGGGCAGTAGGTCTGCAGATGGTTCTGCAGGAAGTGGGTCTGCAGATGCAGGGTTGCGGTAGGAGTGCAGGTCCGCAGACGTGGGGGTTGGTCCACACGTTATGTGATATACTATCAGCCTTAAGATCAGCTTGGGTGTAGGGAATGGGCTTCTCTTTGAGATGGTCTCTGGGGCCCTGGGCTCCCTCCCCTCTCCGCCGACATGCTGAAAATGATGAGCTGGGAAGTGTTCATTATGTTGGTACCGCCAGCCTCTCCCCATGCCCTCCTCATTAGCTGAGGTCTTCAGCATGAAAATTATGAAAATGTTTACCTGAAGGAGACTAAATGTTCATGGGAAGGTGGCAGCATTAGCCTGTACCGGTATCCATAGAGACATGAGGGGCGATTGGTTGGCCTGATGACCACTTGTTGATCTACTCATGACACAAAAGCCCAGGAGTTCGTGTGGTAGAGCTGAAAGGCACAGGCCATCCATCCATCCATCCATGTTCATTTATCAGGTTTTTTTCCTAAAATGTTTTTCCCACAATGCTTGTGGGGTGGGCTTCCCTCTGGCCATTGCCATTTCAGTGCAGATCAGTTTATTGGTCATGGTTAGGCTCTGTGATTTTGGGCTATGCATGTGGTTTTGGTTGGTGTTTAGGGTTCAGGTTAAATTTTCCAGGTGGTTAGACGTTAGAGGGTGGTTATTGCATATTTGCACTGCAGTTGCTGTAGTTCTGTGCATGTTGTTTGAGAAGATAATGGGCCTCACATTTTCGTATTCTGATCCTAGGGCAAATATTTCAATCAACTCAGGAATTTTAGGGGTCACTGAAATCTGAGTTGCAATACAGTCTGGTACCCTACTCTGTTCATTAGGTAGGAAACTCCCATGATCAAGAACATGATTCTGGAGTCAGTTCTGTTTTTCATGGCACCTTTCACAGCATGGCTTCTCAAAGGCCACCAACAGCCAAGGGTTCAGTACTTCAGATGTGATGGGTCACCTTGTGAAGTGGGCTGTGTGTCTAAGAGCTGTGTGTGTATGTGTGTGACCATCTTTGACCATCCCCTCCCTGCCTGTCTGACTGCTGGGTGTGTCTCTGGTGCAGCCTGCACGAGTGCCACCCCCACGGCCCCCTCCTCCCAGGCTCCAGCGAGACCCCCGTCCCGTGAGTACCCATCCTAGCCCCACCACTAACTCCCACAGGGGCGTATAGGAGCGTGTTACGTGCTGTGCCTGCCGTCAGTCACAGCTCATCTTAACACCTCCTCTCCTAATGGCTGGGGCCATCTAACCATCTGCTCTCTGCACACTGTGTGTGGATGTGGGTTGTTGAAGGTTGTGTTGTGACCTAGATTTCGGTGTTGCACCATGCCATAATTTAAACCCAACCTTCCCTGGCTTCCTGCCTGGTTCTCATCCACTAAACCCAATCTTTATTGGGTTCTTCCATGGTTATGATCCACTAAACCTAACCTTCCCTGGGTTCTCACCTGGTTCTCATCCACTAAACCCAGCCTTCCCTGGGTTCTTGCATGGTTCTGGTCCACTAAACCCAACTTTCCTGGGTTTTCACCTGGTCAACTAAACCCAGCTTTTAACAGGTTCTCGCCTGATTTTGTCCCACTAAACCCAATGTTCCCTAGGCTCTCGCATGGTTTTTATCCACTAAAACCAACCTTCCCTTGGCTCTTGCCTGGTTCTGGTCCACTTAACTGAACCTTCCCTGGATTCTTACATGGTTATTCTCCACTAAACTCAACCTTTCCTGGGTTCTTGTATGATTCTGGTCCACTAAATTCAACCTTCCCTGGGTTCTTACATGGTTCTGGTCTACTAAACTCAATCTTCCCTGGGTTCTTACATGGTTCTGGTCTACTAAACTCAACCTTCCCTGGGTTCTTACATGGTTCTGGTCCACTAAACTCAACCTTCCCTGGGTTATTGCATGGTTCTGGTCCACTAAACCCAACCTTCTCTGGGTTCCTGCCTGGTTCTGGTCCACTAAACCTGGCCTTTCTTGGATTCTTGCATGGTTCTGGTCCACTAAAGCAATCTTTAACATTTATTTCCTCCAGGGGCCTGTATCACAAAGTCAGACTCCTTGCTTAGTCTGATAACTTTGAGACTGAGTAGCAGTAACTCTGGCTCTTTGATATCACAACGCTGGTTCTCTTCATAGCAAGACATATCACTATGTTACTTCATGCTGCACGCCAAACTTCAGAACAGGTTATTTTTCTGGATCACAGTTCACAAACAGTGCTTAGACGAATCAAAGAGGAAAAAGTCTGTATAGTACCTGACATAACTAATGGGCTTCCCCAAACTCTGGAAATGGCTTGTCCGTGACAATGCTGTGATTGAGGTAAAGTTAGTTGTATATTTGATATTTAGTCTTATGGCTGAAATATCTTTCAACAAGGAAGCCAGGCAGGTTTTAATCAGACATCTTTGATGTCCACAGGCAGAGGTACACACCAGTCATTTTTGCATTTCGATCCCTTTTGCTATATCTGCTACATCTTGTTAATACCTACGAAGTGAGGCAATCTCTGCTGTAATGAGATATCGATTCAGCATTTTTAGTTGATAGCAACTCTTGGACATCCCTTGGTTTTCTATATTAATTAAAATTTGCCCAAAAAGTAATATCTTAATATTTGCATGTCTGCTCACGTTCAATGGCTGTTGCTCCATTATAGTCACTTGTGGTGAATGTAGTTATAAATAAAAATGTATAGAAATACATGATCTGGAAATCAAGTAGTGTGCATTCTCTCCATTGCTAAAACCGCACTTTGCTGAACATGTCTATCACATTTAGTTTTATAGTTATTAGTCTAATTATTCTACCCTTTGCACTTTGAATGATGTAATTAGAAATGAGCATGGATGTCGCTCACTTAAAATATGTCAACACCTTTAGTGTGTGTTTGTGTGTGTGTTTGTGTGTGTGTNGTGTGTGTGTTTGTGTGTGTGTGTGTGTGTGTGTGTGTGTGTGTGTGTGTGTGTGTGTGTGTGAGTGAGTGAGTGAGAGAGAATGTCAGTTCGGGTTCCCACACCTCTACTGCTCTCAGTATCAACACCGGGACACCGCATGGCTGTTTGCTCAGCCCGCATCTTTACACCTACTATACACATGACTGTGTCCCCACACAGCTCAACAAGAAGATCATTAAGCTTGCAGATGATACAACGGTGATCGGACTCATCTCGGGCAACAGCCTGCTCCTCAACACTACAAAAAGAAAGGAGCTGGTTATTGATTTCAGTAAAAATAAAACTGACATTCAGCCACTCACCATCGACAGGGCATATGTGAAGAGGGTCCCAGTGTTCAGATTCCTGGTTATGGAGTTGAAGGATGACCTGACCTGGAGTGCTCACACCAAGGAGCTGCTAAAAAAGGCGCAGCAGAGTCTGTATTTTCTGAGAATCCTCAGAAAGAATGAACCGTCTCCCCAAAAATCTGCTCCTTGTCTTTCACCACTGTTCCATCGAGAGCGTACTTACGTACGGACTCTGCGTGCGGTACGGACTCTGCGTGCGGTACGGACTCTGCGTGCGGTACGGACTCTGCGTGCGGTACGGACTCTGCGTGCGGTACGGCAGCTGCACTTCCTCAGACATGAAAGCTCTCCACAGGGTCATCAGGGCAGCGGAAAAAACAACTGGCTGCCCTCTACCTACCCTGGAACAGATCTACACCTCCCGATGCTGAAAAAAAGCTATGGACATGATTCATCACATCCTGGTCACTGTCTCTTTCAGCTTTTGCCATCAGGAAAGAGATTCAGAACAATGAAAATCAGGACAGTTTTTATCCGAAAGCAATCATGACCTTAAACTCTAAACAGAACTGTTAATTTTCATATTTCATAAGTGCAATTTGTGTAGTCAGTGCAATTTGTATATTTTTAATATATTCTTTTATTACTCATGCTTCACATTGAGTCGCCCGCATTTTCTCAGTTTCGTTGTCAAGTGACAATGACAATAAAGATTATCTTATCTTAAATATTGAATGGATTTTGAAGGGTGACAAGTTTAATATTGAATAATAAAAATTAGATTATGAATAAAATTTAAATAATTACAAAGACCACAAAGCATGTGTGGAAATTAAGATAAATATTGATGTTCTCTTAATAACACAAACTCCCTGTTTACATATGCATTTAATCTATCTGCTACCAGCTTGCCCTGTTGCAATCCATGCGTACGTGATTGGCTGATCTTTGCATACAGCATGCTTTTATGTGCATGTGCTCAGGGAGTAATCTTGGTTTCAGTTAGAAAACCTAGCTTGACATAGATTGCTGAGAGTCAACGTCCTAATACCATTAATCTCGAATTGCATTTGTTTGGTTTATTCGAGCTGAAACATCTCTTTGAAGCCTGACTTTGCTGAACCAGCTTTGTGATACAGGCCCCAGGATCTGGTTTGTTAAGCCCAGACTCCCCTGGGCTCTTTACCTGGTTTAATGCGTGAATGTATTGATTGCTCACACTTGACATGACAATAGTCTGTGTGCTTCATGTGGCATGTGTCTCTTGCACTCCTTGACTTGTGAAGGTGCTGGTTTTGGGCCTGTGAGGGAAACATATGACTTGTGTATTGACTGGGTTTGTAAAGGAGCCCTCAACTTGTGTGAGTGTGAGAATAAGTAAGCATGAGTGTGTGTCCAAGTGTATGAATGTGAGTGTGTGTGAGTTTGTGCATGAGTGTGAGTGCAGATGGCATGAGGGTGTATGAGTATGGTTGTGTATTAGTGTGAGTGAGTGTCCCTTAGTGTGGCTGTGTGTGTATGAGTGTTTGTATGAGTTTCAGTGTGTATGAATGTGATTGAGCATGAGTGTATTTATGTGAGTGTGTATGAGTGTGTTTCAGTGTCCAAGTGTGTGTGAGTGCACATAGCATGTGTGTGTGTGTGTGTGTGTGTGTGAATGTATGTGTATTAGTGTATCAGTGTGGTTGTGTGTGAGTGTGTATGAGTGTCAGTGTGCAAGTGTTTGTGAGTGTGAATGTACATAGCATGAGTGTGTATGAGTGCCAGTGTATGTGTGTATGAGTATGTGAGTGTGCATAAGTTTGAGTGTTTGCTCTAAGTCTTTCATTCCAGACGTTTCTGGCATTGATCCATCAAATAATAAGGTGTCCTGCTCCCCCCCCCCCCCCCCAAGAAAAAATGAATAGATTTAGACGCTGCTTCTGGCTCCGGTTCAGTGAAACGGCTCCCTCCATTTCCCCAGCCACAAGTGTGCTGATCTTCTCCATTGATCAGCATTTGTTCTCTGGTTCAAAGCCACTCAACTCTCCTAATTAGCCTTGCCCCCCACCGCCCATTGCCAAAGCCACTCAACTCTCCTAATTAGCCTTGCCCCCCACCGCCCACTGCAAGTTTGACGTGAGCAAACAGAGGCCGGCGATTCCTCAGGCTGACTTCCATTTGAACTGTAGCGCCCCTTTAGCTTGGTCTTGCTCAGGCCATATTTCCTCCAGGCTGCTCCGGGTGTCCCTGCACATGCCTGCTTGCTCAGCTGCCCCCCCCACTTGGGTTGAGGGTCTCTACTCCTGCTTCTCTGGGTTTCCGACTGTCTGGAGTGTGTGGTTCCCGTGTGTGTGTGTGTGGGTGTAAGGATGTCTTTCTGACTCATCTGCTTGATGTGTCCCCCCTTCACAGGCTCGCCCCCCCAGACCCCAAATGGCAAAGAGACCCAGGAGCAACATGGTGCTGGATAGCTGCCGCCCCTCCAGCCCTGAGCAGTGAGTGCCCCCCCACCTCCGCTCCCGTCCTCCTCTCTCCGCCTCCTCCCACAGCCTGGTTATTGGGTGGCAGTGTGTTACTGAACTCTCGTTTGTGCGATCCATCACAGGCCTCCTGCAGCTCCTGACTGTAACTCTACTCTGCCTCTTGTGGTGTACATTGAGTACTGTAAGACCAGCATTGCATTACACAGTTAAAAATAAATGCTGATCAGCTCCTCCCCCAGAATTAACAAGCACACGATTTAAGGAACTGCTTTAAGCGGCCCCATGGACCAGCACCCCCCCAGCCTGCCGATGCTCAGCACGGATTTGGCCGGCTTGTCCTCATTGATCCCTGGGATGGCAGCTGCCTTTGAACTCCAGGTCATTCATGGGATCATGCAGGGGGAGTCCAATCTCCCTCTCTATCCTTCTCTCTGTCCCCCTTCCTGTATATTCCTCATTCTATCCCTGTATGGTGACTCCCTCAACAGCCCTCCTGATCATTACCTCGGCAGCCAGGTCTCTTCGGTCATTTGCTCCCTGTTCCCATCCAGGATCTCTATCAGAACGTTTTATCCTAAGCTGTCACCATGTGCCTTTGCCTCCGGATCTCTCTGGGCGTCTTTCGGGTCCCGTCTCGCATGACACTCCCTGTCTGCCTGTCCCTTCTCCCCAGCTCGGTCCGGCCAACACGTCACTACACTGTCTTCCTGTCTGAGGACTCCTCTGGTGATGAGCGGCAGCCTGAAGAGGAATCAGTCTGTGGTTTCCCGGACAGCTTCCTCTTCTCCGCCCCCTTCGAATGGTCTATTTCTCTCTGTTTTTCTCTATGTCTGTGTCTCTGTCTTGTCCCGTATCTACTACTCACCTCACTCCTATTGACCCCTTGTCCCTGCTTCTCTGATTGGTTCATCGCTGCAGACCCCTCGCCTTTGACCCCTTGTCCCTGCTTCTCTGATTGGTTCATCGCTGCAGACCCCTCGCCTTTGACCCCTTGTCCCTGCTTCTCTGATTGGTTCATCGCTGCAGACCCCTCGCCTTTGACCCCTTGTCCCTGCTTCTCTGATTGGTTCATCGCTGCAGACCCCTTGCACTTTGACCCCCAGACTTGCTAGCTGCTGGTGTTGAAGTGGCCTGCTCACGCGCGCTCTGCCAGCGGCAGCAAATCAGCAAAGTGCCTATATCAGTGTGTGATCTGTGGGGAAGGCGTGATCTGTGATCTGTATGGTCCAACACTCCAGTGCTGTTGGAATGAATCTTTCCTTTCTAGAACTGTTTATTTAACATGTTACTATCGTAATAATTATTATTAGTACTAATTAGATATTCGAAAGCCCATCCATCCCTCTGAAGACCTGTCCAGGCGCTTGGTGTCCTCTCATGTGTGCTTGGCGTGATGGTGTGATGCAGCAACCCGATCTCACGAATTTTCGTGCAGCCATCACGACATAAAATCTATTTAAACGTGCTGTGATCACGTTTTCGTTTTATGTCGTGATGGCTGCACGAAAATTCGTGAGATCGGGTTGGATGCAGATACATTATGTTGTGACGTGTTACCTGCTGTGTTAGCAGTCACCAGTTGAATGGTTCTATGTTGGTGTCAGGTGTGTATCCGCCTTTTATTTTGTCTACATGCTCAGTGTGTTTCCTGTTCCACGCTCCAGGCCACAGCCCTACAGGTCTCTAAAGGACTCGGACATCCCAGAGGGGGAGGAGGGGCTGGGGGCAGAGCACCCCCATGGCCACACAGCTCCACCCAGCCCAGTGGTGGAGAAGCTGATGGAGGCGGACCTGCTGGGCGATATTTTTGCCAGCTTAGAAGGGAAGACTGAGGAGGAGCCACCGGGGCCGGCTAGGAGCCTGGAGGACCTCCGGATAGCCAAGACCCCCGAGGAACCGGTTACCAAGTTTGGATATCAGGTCAGCACCAGCCCAGGGCCCTGCTGTTGGACCCAACTTTGCATCCAACTTTAAATGTGGAACTCAGTCAGTGCCATTGCAGTATTTCTGACCACTTTATACCTGTGTGTCTGTCTGTCTGTGTGTATCTGTGTCTGTGTTTTTGTATATGTCTCTATGTCTGTGTTTGTGTGTGTCTGATGCTTGTGTGTATTTATGTCCCCTGTCTGCGTTTGTTTGTGTCTGTTTGAGTTTGTATCTGTCTGTCTTTGTGCTTGTGTCTGTCCCTGCAGCGTATGGATCTGGCTACAGCAGAATACACCCGGACTCTCCCCAGCCTCAAACACACTCACCCCTACAGCAAGTTGTGGAGCCAGGGTCAGGACGACATGGCACTGCCCAGTCGGGCCCCCCAGTGTTGGGAGAGGCCGCTTTCTGTGCCCCCACCGGAGCCATCAGAGTCCCATCCCGCCGTCCAGGAAAAGTCTGACATAGCTGCCATGCTCTCAGCCCAAACCAGCATCACCATTCCTCGCCCGCATGGACGTAAGACCCCTGAACCTGGTAAGATGCTGCCCCCCCCCTTGCCCCGTGCCCCTAGACTTGCGAACATGGACTCTGGCATGACGGCAGGGGGTCAGGAGTTCCGCCAGGCTCTCAACATGTCGTCCCCCCCCCAGCTCCCTAGTGCTGACCTCCTGAAACCCGAGAAGGTGGGCAGTGACAGTTTGGACCTGTTGAGTCTCTTGGACCCTCTCAACAGCGCCACCCCGCAGGCACCTTCCGTGGGGAGCGAAGACTCCAAAGTATCTGGGTCTCTTTTTGGCCCACCACAGGTGTTCCCCTCCACGCATCCGCCCCCTAACCCCTTCACGCAGACGCCCCTCTACACGCCTGTGGGCCCAACCCCCCAAGCCTACTCCCCCGCTCCCATGGGAAACCCTTTCTGCGCCCCCTATGTTGCTGCCCCACCGGCCTTCTTCCAGCCACCCCCCTTCGCCGTCCCTGCAGTGCCGACCACCTTCACATCCCCTCCCCCTGCCATCGCACCAACCTTCCTGCACACTATCCCTGCTAAGCCAGCCTACCCCCCAAGCCTGCTGAACTGCCCTCCAGGCCCCATTCCCACCCCCCCGGCTTTGCCCCCCCAGTCTGAGGAAGACCCCCTGGACCCCTTTGGGGATCTTCTGGCCATGACGAAGCCTGCGGCCCCCCTGAAGCCGAGGGTAGAGGATATGCGGCAGCAGTGGGAGACGTTTGATTAGCCCCCCCCTGCTGGACCCCTTAGCTGATTAATGAACTCTGAACATCAGGGAATGTGGACGTTTAGGAGGCAGTCCTGCCCTGCCCGCCCCTCCCAGGTGGCCGTGCTGCTGAGTTTCTGTGATCAAGTCGCCTTTATCCCTGCCCCCCAGAAATCAGACTGATGCGACTGCCAATTCTTTGCCTCACTTACATGCTGTGGTGTTATTTGATGTTCTTTCAACAGCTACGTTTCTTTGGGGTTTGTTCCCCTTGGCTGCAGGCGGCACGCTGATTTGTGCTAGACTCACGTCAGTGTCCAGTTAGCCTTTGCTGGGCTCGCTTAGCATCACGTTGGCCTCACCTTAACATTGTGTTAGCTTGACTCTGGCCTTGTGTTTAGCATCATGTTGGCCTCATCCTGGCCTCACCTTAACATTGTGTTAGCCTCACATTGGTCTTGTGTTTAGCATCATGATGGCCTCACATTGGCGTCACATTAGCATCGTACTGCTAGCTTTGCACTGCCCTCCCAGTAGCATTGCAATAGCCTCATGTTAACAACGTGTTAGCCTCGTATTAGCGCCGCTTTAGCCTTGTGTTGGCGTCATGTTAACATTGTGCTGCTAGCCTCGCGCTGCTAGCCTCATGCTGGACTTGCATTACCATTCTGGCGGCTTCACTCTGGCCTCGCAATCGCATATTGGCAACCTTGCACTGTCCTTCTGTTTTGCACCGCATTGGCTTCACATTAGCATTAAGTTGGCCTCGCGTTAGCGCCCAGCAGCTGTGTCAGCGCGGGGGCTAAGCAGCCAGCTTGTACACTAAAGCCACTCTCACCATGTGAAGAGCCCAGCCTTTATTACTGTAGATATCTGCTTAAGGGTCAAGCTCCTTTTATTTCTTTGACCAGTTCAAGTAAAGAGCAGAATTTTATGTGTTTGTTTTTTGAACCTATTTTGCTGTATTATCATCAATTCTTGCAAGACCAGAGCAAGGTGGTAACAGTTTGACCAAACATGTCCACAATGATGCAAGTGACCTTCGACTGGTAGTGGTGGTGGGGGGGGTCGCTTCCCTGTGACTCGGCAAGGTCACCCTACCTGTGACCCTGAGACTCTCAGCAGAACCTGTTGTGTATTTGAGGGTGTATCATGTGACAATCACCATGTACGCTATACTTTGTGTCATTTTTCTATATATACCAGCCTCATTTCCTCCTGCCCACCTCCACCCACCTTTGAAACTCATTGGCTGCTGGGGCTCTGCCCTTACACCAAGCAGTAAAACCAGAGCGCGGTCAAGAGAACCAAGGAACTGTAGCCATCAGAACCTAGTGTACCAGGGTGACCTGGCCCACACTCCACCACTAGTGTGTCATGACCAAATAGGTTTTATTAAAACCAAGGAGTTTACTGAAGATCATATGAATCTCCTTGTGCAAATCACAATGCACTGGGTCCCAGCAGTGGTCCAATCAAGTAAATGCAGGTGTGTGCAACCGGGACATTCAGCTGGAAAAACAGATGTCAGAAATACCTGACAGTAGCCAGTCTTCAGAAAGAGTCTTTCATTGGCATTGTCAGCTTTCAGACTTGGACAGATCCAGCACCTTTGTCAAGTGACACTCCTGGTTACTTAAGCAGGGAATTAAGACCACTGAGCATGTGTGAATCACACACCAACAGGCCTTGATCTTTGGGAACTTCCACAGCTAATCAGAGAGAACACTAGTGGGCCAACTGGATGAGATTTGATATTTGGCCATTGACACAAACACGGTCAGATTTTCATTGCGCGAAGCACTAAGATCTATGGAAATGTGAAAATGCAGACTTCATGATTCCACAGTTGTGTCTCAGCTTCTTCGTTTGTGTTTTTTTTTGTTAACTTGTGAAACTTGTTTTTGTTTTATTGTTTATTTTCAAGTGAGTCTTTATTTCATCATTTTTAATTAGGCACAGTTTCATTATGAACAAGAGTGTCAGTTTCCAACATGTCACTCGTGTTTGTAATTTATAAGCTGTCGTGGTTCTAAAAACTAGATGGGCTAATGTCGCCGGGGGTATTTTCTGTCTCTGTTGGTGCTTCATTTACACAGTGAGGATGGGCAGAGCTTCCTCTGTCCTCTAAGGGGAACATGTCGCCTGTGCTAAGTCACATGACCATAGTAGTGGCTTTTTCATCCTGGTGTCTTGGAAAGGATCTTTCACTTCTGCCATTGCCGATGACTAAACCATGAAGCAGTGTTTCCTGATCTCAGTATTTTATTAAATCCTCCCTTCCCAGGCTATTTCAGGTTTGTGATTTGACAAAACAAATAAACAACATTGTACCAAAATCAAGCGTCTGTCTGATCTTGTGGCCGCTGCCCTTCAGCTTGTACCGGGTTCAGTTGTACTTGGCTTGTTGCGTTGTGGGGGCGCGGTGTGGCTGCTGGTTAAGACACTGTGTCTGCAATCTGAGGTTTGCCAGTTCAAATCTCAGGGTCAGCAGAGTGAACTCATCATTAAGGCCCTTCAGCAAGGCCCCTAACCCCAGTTACTCCAGGGACTGGCTGGCACTGCTCTCTTAAACATGTACATTGTTTTGCTAAATAAATGAAATTCAGCTGAATTTTGAGTCATGTTTCCAGTCAGTTCCTCCTGTTTCATGTCTTACTGGAGTCTCTGAAGCCGCTCGTAGCTTTCGACCCGCCCCGTCTGGTGCCCCTTCCTCTTATGCTGTGTTCCTCACATTTCATCAAATCCATGTGTCAAAATGTGTCATCAAAATTGCAACAAGATAAGCGTCTCTTTCTTCTGAGTTCCCATTTTTCGATCTCTTCATCATTCTGTGCATCATTTTTGTAGTTTAGTGTAAGTGCTGTGTGTTTGCGAGTCAGATAGTCTGTCCATAAGGTGACAGAATCTCAGGGACATCTCTTGTAGACAGGCCACAGAGCTCGAAAGCACCTTTGGTTACAGATCACTGATATGCTGAAGGACCTGGATTCAAGACTGTATCTGTTTTTATTTTCTTTTTTGTTTTTGGGCTTAGTGTTTGTGATTGGAAAGTTGCCAATTTGAGTCGCGTACTTGACAGAGTGATGTCACCATTGGGTGCCTGAGTAAGGACTAGGGGTGCAATGGTACAGGTATCCCACGGTACGGTATGTACCTCGGTATTTGGGCCACGGTTTCGGTTCGGTTTAAATACAACACTACAAATAACACAAGAAAACAAATAATAAACTGCCTCTTATTTATGTATAAAATATCTATACATGTATAAAATTCAAACTTACAAAATGTAAACAAAAACACTTTAAAAAATGTTAAAGTGCCTCTTAAAGTGCTCTAAACACTCTATATTCCACTCGAGGCTCTGTGCTTGAGCCAAATCGTTTTCGATGGCTTTGCGCGCTTTGTCATAGAGCTCGGGAATTATAACGTCGCTGAAATGTGTACGGCAGGGCACAACATAACGTGGGTCAAGCGTTTTAATTAAGTGGCAAAACCCCGCATCTTCGACAACAGAAAAGGGTTGCAAATCTTTAGCAATGAACGTTCCCACTGCACGGGTTATTTTCGTATGTTTATCGGATGTGGCAGGGTATGTCTGTTGAAAAGCTTTTTCGATAGACACTTGTTTACCTGCAGTTACCTTTTCGTCTGTCCTCCGTTCAGGAACCATTATATCAGCATGACTACGCTTGAGATGCTTAGCCATATTGCTCGTGTTTCCGTTAGCATATGGGACACGTGTTAGGCAATGTTTACAAACAGTGACATTTCTATTAACTGTTTTGACTCCCTGGTCGTTGTATTCTACAGCGAACCCGAAAAAAATCCATACTGGACATTTGTACGAAGCCGGTGCTTCTTCAAACTTCTGCCTCTCAACTATTCCGCTAGTGCTGGCCATACTTGTTTGTTTTTCTTTTTTTCTGCATCTGCGTACCGAGCTGCGAGCTCAGCTCCAGTTACGTCAGTGTGAGAGGGCGAGTGGGTGGAGCCACAACAGTGATTGGACATTAACTCACGGTGGAGGGCTTTCGCTCATTGGCGCTTACTGTTTAACTGGAGCCTGATAAGCATTAATCACTATTTTCAAAAGGAAGTGCAAAAACGAAATACCGCGGTACACAAGGGCGTACCGGACCGTGCAGCGCGTACCGAACGGTCCGGTATTTTACCGAGTACCGTTGCATCCCTAGTAAGGACCCTAGCCCTCAGTCGCCCCAGAGCCTTTCTGATCCTGCTATCTCAAAAAAAGTGACCTTGTTGGCTGTTTCTGTAGAAATTCACATCACATTCTTCTTCACGACTCAAAGCTATATCTTGATTCCTGTTCCTGACAGAAATCCCCACATTCATACATCCACAGTCGCTTTTGGAAATGATGCTTCTCTTGCAACTATTATGCTCAAAACACCTTTTCAGTGATTCTGCTTGTAAAGCCTCCCTGTCACATCTATTACTTCTGACCAGTTTTTGTAGTCGGCACTCCTGCCTAACCGACTTGTGTGTGTTTCTTTTCTTTCTATGCCTTCCATACTTCTGTGTTTGGCTTTCAAATATGCATTTAGGTGAAATGGTGTCATTAAAACTGAGTGTTTAGCGGTGCCTTCCTGTGCAATTTGCCCTATGCTGCCTGGGATTGGCTGCAGCCTTGCCAAGCATCAGAATAATGATTGGATATCTCACCATACATAGAAATACTTTATAAAGTGATTCGTAATTAAATAATATGCACTGTGAATAGTCAGTGTGTGCTGATAGCAATGTATCTCGTATTCCCTTTTCTCTGAGTGTGTTCGTCACGACTTAGGAAATTATGAAACCTTTTAGAAGCTTCACAACGTTTAAATATGCATTAGACTGACAAAGACTTTATACCATGACTACAGTAAAAATTTGAAAATAAGTATTAGTACCCTTTATTGCTTTTAAGGAAAATCGATATATGGAGCTGTATGAAAAGATAAAGGGAGACTGTTATACAGTGTCACACTGGGAGAAGGGTTAGGGAAAAATACTCTTCTGAAGTGGGTAACTAGGAAAACAATAGCATTTTATACAACTGCAGACTGCGTAAATCACAATCTCTCCCAGCTCCTCTATATCAAAGGTAGAGCTCAAACATAATTGGGAAAATGGTTAAAATATTTTTTTTGTTTTGTTTTTTCCATGTCTATATGTAGCCTAGACATTGAAACTATAGTGAAAGGTATCAGTTATGTAATTTTGCTGGTATGATGTCAGTACAAGTATAAACAGATCTTTTAACTCTTTTTCCCGAAAACTGATTACCGCACATGTGAAAAATAGGCACCAATGCTGCAAGGCGTGAGCCACTTGTCTCACGCTGCCAGTGTGGCCGCTCTATTCTATTAGCATGATCACCTATATGAAAATCAGTACTTTCCGCAGCCGTGACACACAACACACATCCGTGTGTCCTGGGCCTGCCAGGCACGCTGCCTTGGACCCAGACCTGGGGATGGACCTCATAGGTGAGTGGCTGGGGGTTGGACATTCACCCCTGGGCCTCGACTAGCCAAAGCCACAGTGAGCAACATGGGATGGCTCTCCTCTGGGCCCACCACCTGCAGGAGAAGCCATATGGGTCCGGTGCACAGTGGGTCGAGCAGCAGTCGAAGTAACAGGCCTTGGCAGACCCAACCCCAGCCACTGATCTGGTTTTTGTGACATGGGCCGGTAAAATAAATAAAAAAACTCCAATAAAGACCACAAATAATAAAAAATCTATAAAAGTCTATGGATGTCCCTTCCTATGGATATCACGTTGTGGTAGTTGGGCAAAATAATGGATGGATTGCGAAATGTGTTTTTTATAATTTAACTTCTGCAAACCCTGACAGGCTAGTAAGTTCCGATAACTTTGGCAGGCTACTCAAAGCAGACACAACAGCAGAGATGGGACCTGGAGACGCACTTTCCTTATGGGGACTGACGCTAGTCATGCTACCTGGTGAGAAAATCACTCACATTCTCTGTGTTCCTGGTTAGCAATTAGCAGGAGTATTGGCTGGGATGATTACAGCATGTAAATATATGGTTACTGACACAGTTTGTATCAATCAGTTAAATTATATAGCACAATTTCAAAGTCAAACATGCTGCACCACAGTGCTGCAGAATGAAAGATCAAAGGTATATATATCAGATGCTTTGTTCCTGTATCTTCATCTAAATAACCAAAGTAAAAACACAAATATGTGTAAACAGGACTCTCAGATTTAAATTGATTATTCATTTATTTATTAAAAACCTAGAGAATCATGTTATTTCAATAGTATTGAAGTTTGGAATAGATATTACAGTGCTTCACTGTATAATTTCCTGTAAGTATATCCAGTTCAGTTTAAGACTTTTTGAACTTCTCTAAATCTGTTACCATACAGTGATATTTCTGTCTTTTAGGGTGTAATAACTGGAATGTAAATTATCAAAATAATCCAGTCTGCACAGTGAGAGGATCTACTGTGCTCATTCACTGTCAGTATGATTATCCACCTGGACACAATGTTAAGGAGATAATGTGGTGTCAGCAAGACATTGACTGTATTGAGACATCATATGTCTGTCACAGTGAAAATTTCAACCTAACTGAAGCCAAACCCAGACTAGGACAGAGTGAGAACATGAAGCCTAATAGTCACAGGGCAGAATGTTTGGGGGACAAAAAGAAAAACTGCACTTTAAAGATAACTAACACTAGAAAAACTGATGCTGGAGTGTACAGATTCAGGTTTAAAACTGATAGACCTGCTGGACAATGGACAAGTCAACTGGGACTGAATGTATATGTTCATGGTAAGACTTTATTTTTGAATCATTTCAGTTTAGCTATTAATTCATACAGTAAGGAACTACTGAATGTTTCTCATGCACAACCAAATAAATTTTCATTTTCTAATTATTCATGAACTACCAGTTAGAATATCTGCAGATTTAGAAAAATGTTAAATGTTGACCATAAGACTACATATGCCCACCATTTCAGTTCAGCTGCTTTTAGTGTTAGAAAGACCTACTGAACATTTCTGACATTCAAATAAAATGATTAAAACACAATTTAGCTGTATACTGACACTATATAATTACTGAAGTCTTAGAAATAATCAGCCTTGATAAGGTATGAGTGTCACATTCAGGTATTATTGTAATTGATGGTCTAATACACACTGATATATTTCAGAATTGAGGGTGGTGATGACATCATCTGGAGGAAATGGTACATTAAGAGAAGGAGACTCTGTGAATCTGACATGTGACACAGGGAGGTGCCCTCGCAACCAATCAGAATTCACCTGGTTTAAGGACGAACAGCCACTTTCAGAGACACAGCCCACACTTCAGTTTGATCCTGTCTCCTACCATCACCTTGGAAAATACTCATGTGCTTTAAAAGGACATAATGAGACTGTGTCTGACGTTTTCATACTAAATACTCAATGTGAGTATGTCACTTGATTCTTTAATTACAACATTTGCAGTCTAACATTTACAGTTGATGTTTTAGAAGAGTTTTAGTATGTTGTATTTAATTCAGGTAGCTGTTAATGTTGTCTGTATGATACAAAATGCAAAAAACTTGTTCTTTGCGTTTTCTCAATATTTTTACCTTTTATCGGTATATGTTATGTTTTGCACTTCAGGGCCACTGTAGGTCTGTTACATTCACTCTGGAAATATCCTGTACTTTAAAAAGGTTATTAAGGTGTATCACACATATGGCCGAAGATGGTTGTACATGACTGGCTAGACAAACATTTATGCCTTTTTCCCCAGAATGCCCTGCACATCTGCAAAACACAGACACTCCTCACATAATGGCCGAGTTCCGTTCCTACGACTACGTCGTTAAGCGAATAGGTCGTTAACTGAGGATCCACCCCTTACCGAGTGGGTTTGTGTCACCTTTGCACCATTTATATAATTTGCATATTTATAAGTGATGCAAGATGAGATGCTTGACGCTGAAATGCCACACTGCCGTTTCCACGACCAAAGTTCTCGTACAGTGTACAATACCTACTTGTCAGAGAGCTCATAAGTCCAGGCGGTTGGTCTGATCTGTACTCAGATTATCCAATATTATACTGCAAAGTGACAGTCTCTGTAAAATTTAAGGTAATTGTTAATGTATTGGGAACTCACTCCCATACTATTGGCAATTAAGCAAGACCAATGCACCTGACTGAGAAGATGCAAACTCAATGCACAGGTGCAGGAATACAACCCACAACGCTGGAAGACCAAAGTGACAATGTCACACACTGGGACAACATGCTGCCCTCTGAATGGAGTTATTAAAAACAAAAATGCTGATTAAAGAATATTTACGACTCGTAATTTATCTACTCAAATTCTGAGGTATAAAAACTGTCCCACATTGAACTAGAACAGAAACCCGACTGATGTGTGTAATCACATTGAATTAAACAGGATTTGATGAACAAGTGATACTAATTTTTTAAAAACACAATTTTATTCTTGTCTCTACAGATGAATCTCACATGACCACAACACTGATTATAGTGGGGGTGGTATTGCTTGTTCTGATTGCTGTTTTTCTGGTGGCCATTGTTGTGAAGAGGTGGGTTTTATCATCACATACTGTTTCTTCTGTTTAAGACAAAAAACTGAAACAAAGACAAAACGGCAGCATTCTTTTGGCAAACTGGGTTAACTTGCTGTCTTGCAGGACGAAGGGCAGCCAGCTGAGGAAAGTAACATCAGGGACAGTGAGAACACAGGTTTAAATGACGCCTCTCAGTTCTAAAGTTTAAGTTTACTGAGATGGCTTCACTGGAGACCCTGTCTGTCCTATTTTCTGAAGATTGCAGATGAGCACGTTCATGGTCCTGACAAGGAAAGCACATATCCCCCAAGCATGGTGCAGGGACTGGACGCCTCTCCCCAGGAGGAAGAAGTCAACTATGCTGCTCTTCATTTTAACACCAAGCCACCAGTGAAGCGGTATGGTTGTCAGCGCTGCGTGATCTCGGCAGAGCCAGCTGCTACGGTGCTACAGTGCATCTTCAACACGGAGCCTCTGGCTTAGCAGCTCTTAAAATACTCCTCTCCATGTCTCCGTTCTCTCACGTAGCGCTTCAGCCATATGTGCATCGATGTTATGCTGCAGGGTGCCCACTTTGTGGACTCTGTCCAGGAAAGAGCCCCCATACCTGGCACTCAGGCCTTTTCCCATGTTTTTGCATCTCCCGGGGGTTTGCGATGCTGATCATGCTTTTGTTGTTTAGGCCTCTGGTGACAGAGCAGATACAGCAGGAGTCAGTGATTTACAGCTCGCTGTTCACTGCTACAAACAGGTTAAACACCCAACTGTCTCCTCACTCAAAGTATTTCCTCTTTTGGCAGTTTTTAATGCATTATTGTTTGGTTTTTAGGGTGAAATGACCAAAAAGCACAGCAAGGCACACAGGACGAGAAAAGCTGAAATCCATCCGCTCCTCCATATACCTTCACTGCCCTTGTCCTGGTTGAGGATCAGTGATGCCAGGTTAACCAGGCCCGGCCAAAACCTGAGAACAGAACCCCATGCCTTGTGAGCTACCGCAGATGTCGCAGAAGTCCAACGACCCACCCAGAGCATCTGCCTAGATGCGGTGGAAGCCGAATTGAGCTCAGCTTGTTTCTCTAGGTCTGGAGGAGAGGTAGCATCACTCAGAGATTCTTGAAGAACACCAAGAGCCTCTGTCTAATATATCATATATATTGCCCAAAGTGCTACTCCATAATGCAGGAGACTTGTAGTCCCGTTAGCCAAGAAAAAAGGCTACAAGCGGTCATTTGTTCCGTCAGCTGTAACTATTCTTAACAAAGACTTTTTTATTAGCAGATAGTGTTATTATACAGGTATTTTATGTATTTTGTTTTAAATTTATTTATGTTAAATTTTTTTGATTTTAACATTTTATTTATATTTAGTTGTATTGATATATGTTTATTGTGTATAGTCTTGTTTGTATTGTGTGCTTACGTCACTGTTAAAGATGAATTTCCATCTGATGTAAATTTGATGGACATTAAAGGAATATTCTATTCTATTCTAATTACTAGTTCTCAAAGCTGGTATTATTATTTATTTTTTTACATCTTTTTTACCTTGTCTTGTGCACACAAAGGTGCTTATACAGAGTAGTAGAGTATGCACATTTCTGCAACTAGCTTATTGTACGTTTTTTATTTTTTATATTTTCCCCCTAACAGACTTCTTTGTTTTTCCTTTGAATTGTACAGGTTATAGGTAACATTAAACTAATAACTAATAAAGGTAGATCTTCAGGTGCAGGGTTGGTGACCATTGTTTAAAGTGTGGCTGATTCCAAGGACATTTAATAAAGTTACACTTAAGCAAGTATGTTTATACCAATATAAAATATTTAAAGTTTGAAAATCATTGTGCAAAAATAAGGAACATTAAAAATCCCCCAGTATCACATACATCCAACAGTCACTAAGTGACCTGTTATTGTGTGACGCCACTTCCTCTGACGTAATATCGCTTCAGTGTAACTTCATAAAGTATGCCAGGAATCAGCAATGCTCACCAATCCTGCTCCGGAAGATCTACCTTTATTATTTACTTTGTGCAATAAATGACCACTTAATATTGTGCACTCTCCTAGTGAACCGATTAAACTATAATGTATGTGATGTGCCTTATTTAATTTTAGAGTTATTAGCCCATGTGAGTGTGCCCTGTGAAGGGTTGGCACACCATACTGGGTTGTCCTCTGCCTTGCGCCCAAAGGCTCCGAACCCCCTGCTACCTTGAATAGGATAAGAAAATACAGAAAAGGATGGATAGATAGATGGACATGCACACTTTTTACTATCTGTCTCATGTTGTTCCAGACTTATTATAACAGTTATAAATCCTTTGTGCTATGAATGGACACTCGGGGCGCCTGACTTTAAGTGAACGTGAAGTTCTCTTGCGACCATTCAAAATAAATTAATTAGAATTCGCAAGTAAAGAAATCTGCTAAACCAATATCTACTTACAGCTGAAACACTCTATTTTCGTAACTATTAACAAGACAAAACAAACTGTGAAAGGGCTTGCATCGCAGAAATGATCGGTGTCCGTCGCTGTGTTCTGGGCATCAATTAGAAGCTGTGATTAAAATCCACCCGGCTTGCTTTTGATAAAACACATCAAACTGAATATCGAATATGAGGCTAACTATCGTATGTAACAAGAATGTTTTTGTAAGGCTTTTCAAGATGTAAATAGACATTTTATGAGCTGTACTCGCCACTACGTGTTCACGTAAGTGTGCTCAATGCCCTGATTATCTAGTACGTAAAATACAATCTCTTCTGCGCTCATTATATATTGTGCGAATAAGATAATTATCTTGGGTGCACAAGTGAATTATTGCAGGGCTCTCAAGTGTCACGCATTGAGAGTGACAGTCACTCTTTTCAGTCTTTTGTCACGCACTCCCGCCACACATTGTATTTCTCACGCGGAAAAATAATTTGTAGGCTAATATGCCGCAGAGCCCAATTTTTCCCCAGACCGCGGCACAGTAGTGCCTCACTATAAAACAAGCGTGTCTCCGCTGGAGTCTAATGGTGCGTTCGTTTTTCTCTCGGAACTCGGAAATTATGAGTTGAGTGACATTATGGTGCGTTCGATTATTTCTCTCCAAGTCGGAACTCGGATAAAAACGTCACGAAACGTCAAGAAAAACGTCGCTTCCCGTCGGAAACACGCCTCTTTCATGAAGTCGGACAAGATTTGCCCCAAGAGCCTGTCACTTACCAGCCAATCAAAAAAAAAAGAAAGGGCCTACACGATAGCCAATCAGAAAATAGTACTATTGTATCTGGGTAAAATACAACACAACAACCAATGAAAAGGCATCCTATGGTATGTCACTCTTGCCTGTCTTCAAAACTTGACAGCCCTGTTATTGTGTGCGCACATGTTTACACGTTTAAATTTATTGTTCGTTCAAGATAATACATTGTGTGCCCAAGATAAAAAAAAATGTAATTGTTTTTGGTACTACGCTGTCTCCGGATAAAACACAAGCTTTACTGCAGAACCAGCAAAGACCGTATTTCTATTCCGGTTTACAAAAGAAGGGTGAGGTCAAACTACGTAAATACTGAAAATTGTCTGAAAAGATGTCATCGGCACATTTACGCATCTAAAGAATATCAATTCCACTTTCAGCACCGGTTTTGGTTGTTTTTTGAGTCCTCTAACCAGAGCTAACTGCAATTCCAGCGCCATGTTTTATCGACGATCTGCAGTAGCCAGCCGATGGCTATGGATGCAGCCGCAAAAGACAGTCACAACGACACCTGCGTCTGGGAGGCGAATTGGCCCGATTACTTTTATGCCTTTGTACTGCAGAGCGTAGAGAAAGACTAGTCACAACATTAAGCAATCCTCACGGAAACATAGTACGCAACTGAATTTTATCACCAATAGTAACAGCACATAAAAATTCTACAACTAACATTTAGCAAGAAAAAAATTATTTCAGGTGAATATGTGTGAAAAGTGTGATTCACCACATTCGTTGTTAATCCATGTTAGTCAAATTTCACTTAAAATGTAATTTTTCAGCTTTCTAATTTAGTGTAGCTGAAGACTTCCTAAAAATATTGTAAATTATTACACATTATCTCTCTGAATCTTTGTTAAACAAAAAACCTAAACAGCAACAGGACTGACAACCCCCCCCCCCCCCCCCCCCCCAACACACACACACACCTTAAAAACAAAAATACAATGTAAAATATTTAAGAACACTCACTTATTTGACTGACTGTGATGATGAACTATGAACTCAATGAGTCCTCTGGTCCTCTGGTGTGTCTTTAGGTATCCTAACCGACTGAAGCTCTTCCCACATTGAGTGCACTGGTAGGGCCTCTCCCCTGTGTGAGTCCTCTGGTGTCTCTTTAGGGATCCTAACCAACTGAAGCTCTTCCCACATTGAGTGCACTGGTAGGGCCTCTCCCCTGTGTGAATCCGCTGGTATATTTTA